AAAAATTGGGGTGCCCATGCTCGTTGGTGAGCTAGAGCCATTTTTCAACTGACAGAGCTCAATATCAAGGCAAATCTGTCATGTTTTCAATGTGCGCGTGCACGAGTGCGCGCTAATGACGCCATAAATTATGCGCAGTAAGGATGCGCAATACAAATGTGAGGAATGACCTTAAATGACATCAACCAAGCAATAGTTAGCCAGATGCACTTAAGTAAAGAATGAGTTGATGTTAAATCACTGTGATGCTGTCCATAATAGTACGGTAAAATTCTCTGTAATTTCTTTTAGGAATCACAGAACATGCCAGCTTTTACAGTCCATTAGTCTTCATGCAATGGATTTTGGCCATTTATCTTGTCTTAAAGCATTCACTGAAAGGGTAAGACTAGTTGACTTTGAAGTTTGCCTTGTAAAGGGTTAACGTAACACAGATTCACTCCAAGATACTTCATTGGCTGTTTTATTTTTCAGGGATTCCTGTTCCTAATGATGGCTAGTAAATCAGGAAAGGTATATGACATAAATTAAACTGATCTACAAATTACATTCAAGTACAACTATTCCCACAAGGTTGAATAAGTGGGTGGATTTTTTGATTAATATTATCAGTGATCAGAGTTACATGCCTTAAGGCGGTATATCTTAAATTTCTGATACTAACCGTGCATCTCTGGCTACTCAGATATTCTAGGATACACTGTACTGGAAATTATGTCTATACTAGTAATAGTTATCACTATCACTACCCCCGCTTTCTTTTATTTTTGCTGATTGAAAACAATAATTTTGAGCATTTTTGTATGGACTAAAAAAAATTTTTTTTTTTTGTAAACTATATCACTCATACTGTTCCAGTAACTTAGGCATCTTACCATGAATATGATCCAAACAATCAACTAAGTTAACTAAACTGGCACATTCTGTTTAACTCATTCTATCACATGATATTCTTTACATAATACTCTCACAAAGTATTTACAGCGGAGCAGTTTACCACATCTCATTAGAAAGGACACAAAAAGTACTCTCTGGAAAAAAAAAATTAGGTTGCCTTCAGTCACCATATATGCAAATTAGAGTCAAGCTTTTTGACCTCAACGAAAACGCTGCAAAACATTTACATTCACATTTGGATCCCTGCAGAGTCACCCAGCCCACAGAAGAGCTCTACGCCACATAGGAGTACTCAATGTAAATACGCTATCCGAATAAACGAGATGCCAAAGGTAAAACTGGCAATCGGAAGGGTCTTTAGCTATTTAGTGGCAATTGAACCACACTGACATCGAATTTCTTGTATACTTCAGAATTTCTTACAATACCTTCCGAGTTGTTTTTCTCCCAAAATCCATCTTCAGGATCTTTGAAATTGTTTTCAATTTGTCCTAGATGAGAATCTCGGCCATTTCGAAGCAAATTTATTTGATTGCGCTAAAATCGTCATGCAGGCCATATTGTAATTGGAGTGTATTTTTGACCTTGAAATGCTGCTCAAAGATGGCGAAATGCAAACTTGTGGTTGGGAGACCTTGAAATACTGCTCAAAGATGGTGAAACGTGAACTCGTGGTTACAAGAACCTTGAAATGCTACTAGAAGATGGCGACCCAAGACCACCGTGTGTGCCTAGTTTAGTAAAATCGAGAAAACTTCCCATACTACCAACACATTTCTTACATTTTGAAATTCCTTGTATGTTTACACGCAGGGACTTCTAGGGTGCCTCCTCGGGTTTTGGCCTCTGGGCCAAAGCCCTGTGGGCCAAAGCCCTGTGGGGGCAATAATCATGACATAATCAAGACAGTGCATCATTTAATAAACCCCTGGATAAACACAGATGGACCATGTGTCCTAAAGGAATCTGTGGTTGATTGACCCTCGATAGACACTCAATCAACATCTCGATTGACACTCTATTAACAGCTTGGTCAACACTAGATCGACATCTTGGTCGACAGTCAGTCAAGAGTCGACTAACTTTCGCAGACATGCCACCAAGTGTTGATTGATTCATACGAGTCAGTCGACACTCGGCCAACTATCAAACATTGATCAAGTGTCAATTGAGTGTCAGTCAAGATGTCAATCAAGTGTTCGTCTAGTGTTGACCAAGTATCGATCAAGATGTCATTCAAGATGTTGATCAAGTGTCAGTCAAGAATATTGATTGACACTCTATCATGGATGCCTTTAGTACACATGATCCACACAGATAGTAATTGCTGAGAGCAGTTGTGTGGCCAGAAAGTCCCATGCACTTTTGTTGTAGAGAAACATATATGTAGAGAGTTTGGCCATAAAGCTGGTGATAGACAGGCTTGTGAGAGTTAAAAAGAATATTTTAAAATTTTTCAAATACAATCCTGGAGAACCCCTACTCACACTTGGAACATCTTTTAACTTTGCATATCTATTTAATGTACCATATAAAGACTTAACTTTGTTTCCACAATGTAGATTGTTTAGTACTGAACTGTTGTATGCATGTCCTTTTCAGGAAATTGTTTCTGGAGGAGACACAAATACTGGTGCTTGTTTGTTATTTGCCTTGAATCCCAAAACCTCAAAAATGATATGTTTGGAATACTTTAACCTAGAACAAAGGTAATATTAATTTAAAGATAATTAAGAAAACTGTATTTATTTAGAAATAGTCTTTGTTTTAATTTTTATTATGGGTTGTGTCATCCTATGCATAGTCTGGTGATATATTTATACCTAATCATACCTTTTTCATATGCTTCAGTGACATATTAGGTGAGTTTGGTTAAGATGTAGTTCATATTTTGGCAAGATGTAGTAGAGGCAAAATACCCATGGCAAGACCCAATGAGCACAAATAAGTCGCTTAAGCATGCGAGAAAGATACATGTACAATTAGATATTTCCCATACCCAGACTTGGTGAGAATTCTGGAGGATTTTTTTATTTATGGTAATCCGTCAGGTATTCCAGTTATGTGGGGCACAAGAGGAGTTTAGTTTTGGAAGGAAAGTTTTGACATATTTTACCCCCCGCCCCCTCCCACCACCCAAAAAAATAAAACAAATGAAACAAAACAAAAACTCTTAATATTTAATTGCGAGTCTTCTATTGTTTTCAAATCACGCCCACAATGGCAATACATTATCAAGTGAAAGTCAACATGCAAAGGAAACACAAGGAAATACTCAGATAAATTTTTTGCCATGTTGATGAGAAAAATATTTGGGCAAAGATCCTAAAAAGACTGTGCTACGTTAGAGCTGCTTAGATAATCAAGAAGTAAGCTTGGTAGCACAATCTTTCAAACAAAAGGAGAGTGAAGCAGTCTGCAGGACTTACTCTTTCAGATTTATATCTGTTAGTTCTGTAAATACCTTAAATACGCTGTTAATTAAGTAAAGGAACTTGAATTGTAAGCAATAGTAAGCAGTAGTAAGGAGACATGTGAGGGTCTTGAAAAAGTTAGGACAGAAAAGATAAGGTAAGCTTCAGGCAAGGCACTAAAATATACCTCAAATCAGATTTGAAACCCAAAAATGGCTTTGCATACCCCTATCATTGTTAAGGCGTGGCACGTGAGTTCCTCCTTGGGTTATTTGTTTCATTTTACCGTGTATAATAATTTATTGTCTACCGTTTTCTTTCTTTTCAGTCTGAACACACTAGGTACAAATGGTCAATATATTGCTGCGGGACATCAGGCAAAGGGCAAAGTGAACATTTGGAACATAACCAACAATCAGAGACATTCTACTCTTCAAGTGTTCCAAGGTAATACCTTACTGTCATCACAGGCCTATCTTAGTTCTCTTATGGACATTTCCACCATATGAACTATGATATTCCTTACCCGTCCCTGCCAAAATTGGAATAAGTCTAGTCCCAAGGTATTGGTGAGGTATTGAAAAACAAAAACAACCAGTACAACAAGGAAGTGTTGCTTGATAGCATTCCTTTGAATTGCCACAGTTTACTGGTATTTTCCCCGCAGACTTAAGTTGGAACCACA